TTTATTATAATTCTTAAGCATTTTCTTCTCTTTTGGCCCATGATAAATAAAATTGCTTTCCAAATTTCATTTTTGGATTATTTATTGTGAGAGTATAGAAGTCCACTTAATTTTTGCATGTGAATATTTTTATTCTGTGACTTTGCTGAGCTAGTTTATTCATTAATTAAATAGTTTGTTAAATGAAATTTCCTAGGATTTTCTCTATACAAGACCACATCAATTGCAAAGAGAAAGTTTTGCTTCTGATTTCCAATACACACATCTTTTCTTTTCTTGCTTAATTCCTCTGGCCAGGACCTTCCCTGCAATGTGAATAGAAAGGGTGAGAGAAGATATCCTTGTTCCTGATGTTGAGGGGAAGCTTTCAGTCTTTCACCATTAAGTATAAACTTACCTGCCTTTATCAGACCAAAGGCACTGTCTTCTATTCTTAGTTCACTAACCACTAATAGGTTTTTTTTTTTTTAAATCATGCACTGATATTGAAATTTGTAAAGTATTTTTTCTACACATTGAGATGATCATGGGTTTTGTTTTTCTTTATTAATATGGTATAGTATATTGATTTATATATATTAAAGCAATTTATATTTCTAGGAGAAATATTGCTTGGTCTTGTTATATAATTCTTTATATATGCTTCTGGTTTTAATGTGTTAGTTTTTTGCTGTTAATTTTTATGTAAATGATTGATAGAATTCACTAAAGAAAACATCTGGATCTTGCAGAAAGTTTTTAAATTACTAATTCAATCTTTTTAGTAAACATATATTCAGATTGGAGTCAATTCTCATAGTCTTTCTAAAATTTGTCCATTTCACTAGATTATCTAATTTATTGAGATATTGTTGTTTATAGTCTTCTGTTATAATCCTTTTTATTTCTGTTGGATCAGTAGTGATGTCTCTCTTAGCTTTTTCACTAGTTATCTCTGGTAAACTAGCTTTTCTACAGTTTATCATCTTGCTTTGATGGAGCTATCAGCCTCCTCCTAGTTGCTTACCATCAAAATCTCCATTGCTTCTAAGAATTCCCCTAGGTTGGAACTTCATACAAATATTATTTCAAATAAACTCCGTTCTTTTGAAGAGCATCTCAGAGATCCCTGATCTTCTGGTGTGCCTGTGTCCTTGGGCAAAATCTCTTACTTATGACTTTGGTGCTAGGGGTTGTAAGAGCAGACAAAAACTCTTACATTACCAGTAAGATGCTAGATAGGGATAGTGCTCTCTAGTTTTCTCTCTTTATCTTTCCTGGGGGTGAATTTCTAGCCTATAAGTGAACAAGGCAGTGTGATTTAGGCCCCCGTATTTTGGGCCTGTTCTACCTGCGTGGTCCTCTACACTATAAGTTGTGGCTGGGTGAAGAAAGGGTCCCCCTGACCTGTTGACAACATTTGCATAGAATTTAGCCTCTGCAACATGGAACTAAAGATGGGGTGGGATGCGGATGAGAAGTGGTGTTAACCCAATGATCCTAGGAAGATACAGTACCCCTTAACTCCAGAGAGAAAAAAAACCCTATCTTTCTGGCCACATGTACCAGAGTAGAGCTTCCATCATTCTGTGGTGGGAGGTTGGTGATGGGGAACAAGGGAGTGGGTCATGGTTCAAGTGCAACTCTCACTGTTTTCATGGAGTTTTTGTTAATTTTCTTATGTGTGATATACTCTTAGAATATTTCCCAAAGACTTTAAAACTTTTAAAAATAGTTTTCACCAGTTATGATTGTTTCACTGGAGAGAGTGGCATAGAGATCCTCATGCTATCATTCTATGAAGTATCTTTCTTATGTATTACCTTAGCTTTATTGTGATACTAATTTATTATATAATTTATTTATTGAGAGCTTCCTATGCACTTGATACACTATTATTTCTGTCAAAATATATGTCCTAGATTAGAGCAAGGATACTAAATACTTGGAAAATATATTTCTCTGACATGCTAGATGTCTTTATTGGGGTTACTGTCTATATTGGTTGGCATATAAACAACAGAAATGTATTTCTCACTGTTCTGGGGACTGGAAATCTGAGATCAGGGTTACTATGATCTTCTTATTGTTTACCCATATGGTGGAAAGAGAGTGAGTTAGACCTCAGACACCTTTCTATATGTGCACAAATCTCATTATTGAGAGTTCTACTCTTACAACCTATCTACCTCTCCAAGGACCTGACTTCAAACACCATCACATTGGGGTTAGTTTGTAAATACTAAATTCAGTCTAAAATGCTGGACTTGTTTGAAAAATAGCCAGGAATATAGGTCTTTTTTTGTGTGTATATATGCAAATAGTTATTTTTATAAGAAGCTAAGATTAAGTTAATGCAATTTGATCAGAGTTGTCAAATGCAATTATTTCACAAGTGAGTTGACATTTTCTGTTGAAGTTTTTAAAGTATGTTCCAACAGCCACCTGAATCAAAATATTTAATCATTTGTTTGAAAGGCAGAATTTTTTTTTAGTCCTCTCCAGACTACTCTTTTATGCAGAGAAATTTGTGGAGATATTTGACTCATACTTTGGGTTAAATTAATATAGTACAACCTTGGTGATAGATTTCAATGCATTTATAATAAGAAATTGTATAATCACTGTGCTAGGTGCTGGTAATATAAAAAGAATAAGATTTGCTCCTCCAATCCTGTAAGCATCTGTACTATTCATGATATTAATCTGGTAGAAGGAAAGACAATTATATAGTAACTTGATGTATAGTATAAGTCATATTAAATTTACAAAAGTTGTACACACAGAGTTGGGGCAAGGAATACTCCTACAAGTAGCCTAAACATGAGCACATGAACACAGGCACACACACACACACACACACACACACAGGACACAGAGCAATACAATCATTGCTCAGTATCCATAGCAGATTGAATATACTGCCCATCCCCATTCCTCCCCAAACCATGGATGTTCAAGTTTCTTATATAAAATGGTAAGAGTATTTGCGTGTAACCAATGCAAATCCAGTACTCCAAGCTGTCTCTAGACTACATATAATACTTAATATAAAGTAAATGCTAGGTAAGTAGTTGATATTCTGTATTATTTTGAGAACAGCAACAAGAAAAAAGTTTCTACATGCTCAGAGAAGATGCAGTGTTTTTCCAAATAGTTTTAATCTGCTCATTTGAATCTGTCTATATGGAACCCATGGATATGAAAAGCCAACTGTTTACCTTTACCAAAAGGAATAGGGAGGAAGAAATCTAGAAAATAATTTGGAGACTGCTTCCTATACACAGAATCCTGTGTTGTCCACCCTTCCCTTCTCTCTGTGTATCCCAAAGCTACCTTTCCACCGATGGAATGAACAACTGGATGTAGGTAAGGGTAGAATAAGACACATTTTTGTTTTACACACTCAGAGACTTTATTGTCTTACATAATGATGTAACGAACTTATTTTTAAAAAAATATTAAGTGAATGCTTTCCACATGCCAAGGTCTTGGTTAGGAATACTGACTTTTTTTTCCCCCAAATATATGAAGGCATTGAATATGGCATTGATAGCTGATACAAAAGGGCCATTACTACTTGTTAAATGGTGCAGTGTTTCTTTCTTTTCTTTTTTAATTAGTGGAGCATTAGAATAGAACTGAACTGGGGATACCTGCAACCCCAGCTCCTTGTTCTCTTTCTCTTCGGTGCTGACCTGATTCCTTCTCTTCCCAGTCCTGACCCAGGAGTCAGGAGACCACAGCTGTGTGGATCCCACCTTCATCTGGACACACAGATGGCCGTGGCCTCACTTCTAGGAGGACTTGCTGGTAGAAGAAGAGGCCTTTTGGGGGGCCACCATAGACCTAGCATGACATCTACTGGTTCTCTATTTCTACATTTAGATGCTTTCTAATATGTAGTTTCTTCATTGATCTTTTTAGACATGGCCTTTTGGGGTTTTATGAATCGACCATTATTTAAATTAAGCTTAGTGTGAAATGCCATTAATCTTTTATAATAAAGAATAGACTAAAGGCAGAATAAGAATGCTATGGATTGTTTTGTGTACCCTCAGGGTAAATATGTTTGCAGGTCAAAGTTGCTCAATACCTCCTAAAGGTCAATCACACAAAATATTAGGAAACTTGGGCCTTTTAAATTTCATATCCTAGTATTTTTTGGTTTGGGGTTTCTCTGTGCTGAGAGCCTTCTCGTAGGGTTGTGGTGATCATCCTGGCAGCTGCTGATGGAGCCCAGCTCAGACTTAGAGCGTGGTGTTTCTGAGATTTTGGATTGACAGCATATTTTATCATCCTAAAACAGACTGGTTTGGCACATATCCAGGAGCTGATTTTGAAGTTTGGACTAAAATAAAAACAGAAAAAGGAGAAAAACTGACATTCATCTGAGCACCTATCAAGTTCTGTGTTACAAAGAGTAATGCTAAACCTTGGAGGCCAGCTTTATCATCATTCTTTATAGAGGAAGCTGGTTCTCAGTGTTAGGGCTAGGGCTCAGGGTTACATAGCTAGTAACTGAGAGAGGTCAGATTTCAGTCTGGCTAGCCCCTCCCCCATCCCTACAACCTGCAGAAGGTTAGTAGGATGATTCTGTGAACATGTTTCTGTAAGACTTATCACATAATAGTTAAAATCACCAATGAGTATTTTCTGCAAGAGTTCTTTGCCTATCATATGTCAAATATTAAGGTGTATCTGAATTTCAGAGACCTACAGGTAGCTTTAACAGTCAATATTCTCTTTCCATTCAACATCTGAAGCACTTTATACCTATGGCCTTACAGTAGGGTCAACCCATCTGCCTAACTGGACTGTGATCATTTGGGGGCAGGAGCTACTTGTCCTCTTCCTGAGTTTCTCTGAAGCACCTGGCTCACGAAAGAGACCTTTCTCTTAAAGATTTGTTTGTTGCAAATGCATAGAATTGAATTTCAAGATTAATTTTAGCTACATATATATACACATACACACGTATATATATTCTGAGTTTTTTTTTTTCCTTTGGTTCTTTTAAGCAGATTTAAAGAAAGCTTCCAGTTCAAATGCTGCAAAATCCAGTCTACCGAAATCCGGACTTCGACCTCCTGGATACTCGCGTCTCCCAGCGGCCAAGCTGGCGGCCTTTGGCTTTGTCCGGAGCTCCAGCGTGTCCTCAGTTTCCAGCACCCAGTCAGCGGACAGCGTGCCACCCGAGCAGAGCCGGCCAGCCACCCGTAAGTGGGGTGGGGGGAGGGGTTGGGCACCTGTGCCCAGCTCCTGCAGGCCAGTCCAGGCCCTAAAGGTAAATTGACCTGCCTGGGTCCCTATGTGTCATTTTCTTTGTGTGACTAATAATTTTGATCAGTTTCCTTACTCTACCATCCACTTAAGGAAAATAGCCTATTTGTCACTATCTTGTTTTTTCAGTTACGGTAAGTTAACTTGCCAGGAAAAGATTTTGCACCTCTTACCATCTAGAAAATGACTTACCCAGAGACAGGTTTCAGAAGCCCTTTGCTTCATGGATTCTTAGGTAAGAGGTCAAAGAAAGATCCAAGAAAGGTGTCCCTGCAGAGTGTTATCATGAAACCTACTGAGTTTTCAATATTTGCTGAAAGAATTAGTCACCTGTGATTACCTATAGTGCCTTGGAATTGGTGAAGCATTTAACTATGTTTCCGAAAGTTAACTAAATGAGGTTAAAAATAGGAAGGAGGGTTGAACAACTTCAGGTTCTGTGGTTGGGAACACTTGTAGCTGATATGAGGCCACTTCAAGGTTCTTTCCTGGGACTGAGATTATAGAGTGTATCTTATGTTTGCACTGCTAGCCCTCTGAGCCAGACACAGCAGCCACTGTGAGTAGAGGTCAGGAGGGTGACCCTTTGGCTGAACCTTTGATGACCAGACCTCACCTCAGCCTCACCAACCTCAAAGTCATTGTTATCCGGTCTGAAGTCGTGACATCACAGATGTTGGTTGTCAAGAACTGCCCAGAGGACCAGGAAAGTCTTAGAGGTTTCCAAGTGGAGAGCTGTTTTGATGGGATTATAGAAATCAAATCAAGTGGGAGTAGTATGCAAGAGACAGAGATTATTTTTTTCAATCTTAGTCCTTCACACTTCTTCATTCTCCTTCCTTTTTTGGGTTCACAGAGATGATATGTGGAACATTTGTACCTTTACAGTTCTAATTTTTAATCCACCCAGTTATTCCTGTTCATAATACTGTTTAATTTATCTTCATATTTAGGTAAGTGGTTTCGAAGGTTGTTTCCTATGTTTTCTTGGTTTCCTGAAGAGGCTGTGGTTCAGACTTGCGTTCACTTGGATTCATTCTAGGAACGTCACTGTAATTAGGTATTACAACATTATACAGTAGCTGCCTCAAAATATGAAACATGAATATGATAAATAACTATTTGCAAATGTATGATCCATTTTTTTATATGTACATGTGTATTAACAGTCTAAAGACTTTGAAATACAGGAGGAACTGTTTGTCGTCAGTTTTAGTGACAAAATTTCCAATAATATGCTTCTATTTTAGAGAAAGCATGAAAGAAAAAAAAATTTCATGGTATGCATCTTTCTAAGGAAGGAGTTTAGATTTTTGATTTCTTAAAAAAATAGATAATCTTGAAGCAAACTGATCCATGATAGCAGCTTTTGCTGAAGAAAAGCTGACAGGCGTGGGTAGAGTAATTCTAGGTATGCTTAGGGCACTTCTGACCACTACTTCAAAGAAGAGTAGACAGGGATCCCCTGAGGACCTGAGGGGACAAGAGTTGTTATGTGCCAGAGAAAATAACTTCCAATTTTAAAGGCTTCATAGTAAAAATGATATTTACTGTATTCAGAATTGTTTTCTGTTCTTTTAAAATAGAATTGATTTATAATTATCTGCCACCTATTATAAATAAAATTTGTACTTCACCAATGAGCTACAGAAAAACCTCACATGTATCTGAATTACTGTTTTAGCACCACCTACTATTATACCTATACTTGTTATTAGATTTAATGCAAAGAAAAGCAGTTTCAATTCTTTAGTGGATGATGCTTTAATGATAGGGTTTATGTAAAACAAGAAGTTCTTCAGAGAGCTGGAAGTTCTTAGATTACATCCTAGGAGCAAAGCTTTGCTGGTTCAGCTTGTGATAATGCCAATTTGATATCAGAATGGGCTCATTTTTACTTCTTGGAAAGTTGGTCTTTTGCAAACACTGTGTCACATAGGATTCATTTTAGGAATACACTGTATTTAGGCATTACATCATAGCACAGTAGATAACTCAAAATCAGAAACATGACTATAATAGGGAACTCTTTGCAAGTGTGTAATTCATACTTTTAAATACTTATGCTCATATGCATTTCTGAACAATTTCCCCACTGACTGTGGCATGCTATATTTGGGACACTTTTAGGTGATTCATTTTGAATTTATTAGTGTTTCCTAGGTAACCTTGCCTCAACTGTGTCGTGTCTATGTTGTCTTCCTAGGTTCTGAGGGACAAATGATGATAAGTATGGAGAGGGGACCCTGAATGGACCCCTGGATCTGAGGGGCAGGAGCCATTTGGGTCTCAGTGGTTCCATGTGGACTCTTTTCTCTATTCTTGGCTCAGGCTTATGCTTCTAGTTCAACCCTGCTGGGAAGAGCCTTTCAGAGTCATGTGCCTGTCTATTTTTTTTTTTTTTCAAAAATGGAGCAGACACAAAGAAATGAATTATGTTCACAGATTGTTAGAATTTGAAGGTATCTTACTGTCTGGGTCACCCTTCATTTCATAACTGGGCAAACTGAGGTCAGTGTGCCTTGCTCTGGGCTCTTGTTTCCTTTATAAAGCCGGGAGGACATATTCATAAACATCTTTCCTTTCTCTTAGTTAAGCAAATCTTGAGGTCAGAGCTGTCTTGAGAAGTCTTGCAGGCCAAACCTACCACTTCCCCACTTTCCCAGGTTGTCAGCCAGCCCTGGGGTGAGCTCCCTAAATTGCTGCAAGCATCCTGTGGGCAAAGAAGCATCCCCTGAGGCTGGGCAGCTCTCATTGTTAGGAAGTGCTCCTAATGGGTTCAAGCTGCCTCCTTGTGATTTCTGCCCCCAGCTGCAATTCCTGAGGTTCCCACAGCACCTCTGGGAGCCCAGACTGCTCCTTCCTTTTCAGGTTCATCACTTGAAGATGATGAGGTTGGCCTGTTTAGAACATCAAATAAAATTTTAAATTATGCTAGTTAGTGTCCCACAGCTTTTTTTTTTTTTTTTAATTTAAATTGAAGAGGAAAAAGCATTCTTGTAACTTAGAACTTTTAACTTTAAACTCAGACACAGGTCTGACCCAGTATATGGCTCCTAATTCTTTGATGGTTTTCAAAGAAGAAAGAAAAAAAAAATCCCAGATATACTTTAAATGACAAAAACTTAAAAAGGAAAACAATTGCCCTAGAGTTTAGGGTTGGTGACATACTATAAATTGAATTATACTTGGTTGCCAAATTAATCAATGATTAAGGATAGACTTGATTTTTCCAGTGAATAGGTAGGTATAATTTAAAGTCAAATCTTCCAGGTGGAGGAAAACTTGGAAGACAGAGTTTCATGAAGCAATCATTAATGGAAATAGATTCTATCACCCAAGGATAAAATAATTTATATAAAGGATCTATTTTGTTGTATATTCTGAATTGTGCCTGAATTATTGGGTGTTTAAGAAATGAAAATTCCTACCAGAAGAGTACATGCAGCATAGGATACTTGCAGCTGTCTTTTTCAATTTTTCTTCCTCTTTCTTTTTCCAAACACTGTTATATTTTCTCTTTGGGGTTGTCTAAGACTAGCATCAATAAGACAGAGAATTTAAAAGGTATAAATGGAAAATTATTTTTTCTCTCCTATTCCTTTTCCTGGTCAGAAAATTAGTAGAATGATGGGGAGGCAGGGGATAGCTGGAGAAGAAGGAGGGGAGTAGTTTGCATAAATACTCAGGATGCAAGGATATGTGTTCTCATAATACTTTTAGTATCTGTCACCCCTAAAAGACAGTGCTCTTCACACTAGTAGAATTTTAAAAGAAGTCTTCTACCCATAGCAATATGTTCTCTCATGTAAGAATACGGGGTGGGGGAACTTTGGAAGAAATTTAAACAGTTTTCAGAATGGTTTGTGTTAGGAATACATTTTTACTTTATGCATGTATTTTGATAGTTGGCAAAGTTCATAATTACAGTTTTCACAATTTCTAGGATGTCTAAAATATTATTTTCATTAACTGTGGTATACCTATACATAATTTATACAAGTCAAAGAGTGAAAAAGACAATAGGTCATTTAAGTATAATTATATTTAGAAATAAATTATAATATAGGCTGATCTGAGTCTCACAAATATCTAATAACCTGTCTCTTGCAGATAATCAGTCATTTGAAAAGAATTGGGCTAAAATTCTTACTGTTAAGGCTATTAAGGAGAGAATTTCAAAGTTTCCAGAATTAGAGGTCTAGATTCAGAAAGGTTCAATATCCTTATTAAATTCTAGAGTTTTATTTCTTGTTTTAATATTTAAATAAGTAGGTCTTCTTTTAATTATTGAATAGGATTTGGGTTCTGGAGATAATAATCTGAGGTGGAAAATTACTTGCTTCTTTGGAAGGTTAATCAATGAAAATGAGGGTTAATACGAAAGCTTTCTGCAATGTTATCTCAGCATTTATACTCATTAATATTATAGAATGCATTTACATACATAGCTCGTTTGATTTTCTATGTCTGATATGCATTTTAAGTAAGATCAGAGTTGACAAGAAGTGTTATTAATAACTCCTACAGAAACAGCCATTAACCTATCTCATGTTCCATTGGCAAAGAGGGAGTCATTATTTATTCATGGGAAAAGGAGCTGAAAGTGGCTTGGGAGGTCAGATTTCAGGGTAGCTATTGCCTGTTTGAGATTGCCCTTACTGGTGGCTTTGTTCATTCTTTTTCAAAACATTTAAACAATGATCAAGTCTACTCAGAGACAGGATGAAATTGTGAAGTTGTTTTGTTTTGCCTTTAAGAAAGTTGACCATTTATGGTTGTAACATAAACTAAAAGTTGGAGAAGCTTTTAAAAAAAAATAGAAAAAATAACGTCTAGTTCAATGGCTGCTTTTTTTCTTGACTGTCCTGTTTTATGAAGATTAGCTTGTTCACTTTCTCTTCTGTGATTCTGCACACTTTAAGCATCTAAATAC